TCGTTCTCTTCTGTGTGCGTTCCTAAATCCGCTGCTTCTCCACGATCGCCACCACGAGATCCAGTACCCGTGGACGCGTTTTCACCAGACGCTTCACCTATAACATCAATCGGACATTAATTAATTGTCCCTGAACAATTTTAATTTTTATTAAGAAATTATGAAAACAATAAATAAATAAATCGATTCAATAATTATATTGATAAGAACGATTTCAAGATTAAAATCGTAATCAACGATCTAAGTACAAATTTTAAATTAAACGGATTATAGTTCAAATTAATTCTCCATTATCTATCATATTAATCCTTGATATCCTCTATAATTATTATTGTACAACATAATTATTAATAATATAATTTTTATGAATACTTGCGTCATTGGCTATTAACAATTAATTATCAAGAAAACCTCTTAATATAATCTTAAAAGAGATATGAAAAAGCTATCGGACATAAAATTAAAAGGGCAACTTGATCGTTATTGATTTAATAAAAGAAGCGTATATTCTATATTTTTGTCGTAAAACTTTCTTAACGTTGGATCGCGTTAACGTAAGACGTTGTCTTTCAACTCCAGGTATTTCAATGAAATACGTTGAGGAGGAAAAAAAAAGGAAAGAGGGAAAAGAGTAAAATGGTATGAGAGGTAAAGAAGAAGTGGGATAGTAGTCAAAGAGAACAGAGTTTACATGATGACTTTTATCATGGCGCTAGCTTTTCTCGAAAGCGAGAAAACGAGAGAATAAGAAATTTACGTTCAATAAATGTACCCGTCTTTGGCGCCATTATCTTTTTCCTCGATCGCAGAAACTTATCTACACGGTGAAATGAACGACGAGAACCAGGTAAAGGTGAGGGCAGAACGGTGGAAGAGGAAGAAGAGGGACCAATGAGTACGACGACTCAACAGGGTCACTGTCCCATCCTGGCTACCAAAAATATCCAATAAATTCTTGTCATCGTTAAACGCCTGGAATTTTATGGAGGCAGTAACTCGTCCGCACCGCCGAATTTGCTGTCCGATACGATCGAGCGCACTGCCGATGCCGGTGCTGTTATACCACCAACCTTCTCTTTTCTTATCTGTTTCTCTCTCTCTCTCTCTCTCTCTCTCTCTCTCTCTCTCTGTCTGTCTCTCTCTTTCTTTTTCTCTTCTTCTTCTTCTTTCTTTCTCTTCCCTACTTTGCCACGTTCACCAGGATCTCGCACGGATACACCAGGGATCTCGTATCTTTCCATTACTCTTCTTGCTTTTCTTTCTGATCTCCTCCCAAGCTTCAATTCAGCAGGCTTTCTCATCTCTTAAATGTCCTCCTCATTTCAAGAATGGATAATACCTTTTCTTCGAAGTGTCGATTTAATCGGCTCTTTCTCCATTTCCAAAAGATTCTCTTATCGTATGATTAATCTTCATTATATATTTACCTATACAGGTATATAGTTATATATATATATATATACGTATGTGTATACGTATATATGTATACATGTATGTATGTATGTAGAAGTTAAGACATTAAAAAAAAAAAAGAAAGAAAAAAGAAAAAAAAGAGAAAAAGAAAAAGAAAGAAAGAAAGAAATTTTAATTTGAATAAAATTATCGAAATAAATTATCGAACTAAACGGAGGCGCAATGTTATTTCTTGTAACATGCAGGTATAGGTCATCGTCCGATCGTAAAACAGATGCCGTTAATTGAGATGCTATGATCCAATCGACGAACTCTCAGCTACTATTTCGACAAAACAAATTAGAATTACACATTCGATACATGTAATCTCGATCAAATTGTTCAAATTTTCTTATCAAATATTTTTATAATATCCTCAAAACACTTTTAGAATTATTAATTCAATACAAGGACTAGCTGTAAGAATACAATTCTCATAAAATTAATTTCTACGACAGTCATTACCGGATGACTTCATCGTTTCACACTAGAAATATTTACGACTATTCATAAAAATTCCATTAGATGTTAGAGATCGTAAACGAAAAGCATCGTATTTCTTTCTACGATATTACGTTTGATTTTTCGCCGAACGTGAAAAAATTTATACTTTCCTTGAATTATCATCTTTCTCTCTCTCTCTCTCTCTCTCTCTCTCTCTCTCTCTCTCTCTTTCTTTCTTTCTCTTTCTTTTAATTTCTTTTTTATTGAAAAAGAACATTCGATAAAATTGATTATTAATCGTGAATCGACTTGAGGGAATTTCTTTTATAATTAGACACGTTTAATTTGATGTTACAAGATAAACAATCAAGTTTGTTATTATCGATAAAGGAGAAGTAATAATAATCGCAAAATAAGTTTTACAAACGGCACAGCACAAAATTCGAACGTTAAAGATTTCTAATATATCTCTATCTTTTCGCATTAACTTCCGGGAGTCTTCGTTTTAATAATCTACCGTAGGACGAAAGTTTTATGAGCGCGGTAGCTGGTCGGAGTAGCACGTACGACAAATATCATAACTGAAATGTAAAACTTTGCGAGTCGTCGTCAAAGAGTTAGAACCATTGTTTGAAAACCGTTCGTTCGGTTGTTATTCCTTAAAACTTTTTTCTTCTTCTTTGAACGATGCGCTTCAAGAACCAAACGATAAAACTAACCGCTATCTATATTTCTAGTCGCGTTCCTCAAACTTACGATTTTCCATGGCCTATCGCGAGCAACGTCAAAAGGAAAATATTGCCGGCAATAATTTCCGTTTGAATAGTTCCGTCTACGGACTTCGTTCGTTTGTTTTATAAAAGTGTCGTCGTTTTAAAGGTTTGCTCTTCTACGTCTACGCATACACAAAAGTCCTAGAAAACGAGACGAGGCATATACCACATGCAGTTGCGTCTGAAATAGAATCCTCCCTCTCTTTAAACCTCCCCCTCCCCCAGTCGTTCCGCATCCAGTACTTCTCGCCCATCCATTCAAATTGATCGTTTAATATTAAAAATCCTATGTTGTATGTATCCCCTTTTTTTTCTCTCTCTCTCTCTCTCTCTCTCTATCTCTCTCCTTTTCAGTTCATATCTATTTCTATTAAATTATTCTTTAATTAATTTTATAATCATATCGAATACGATAAAAATTTTCTTTTTATATATATTTTTTTTTCTTTTTTTTTTCTTTTTTTTTTTTTTTTTTTTTTTTTTGTAAATATTTCTTACGAAATTATTACGATTAGAATTAGTTTTCGAAAAGATTCGAAAGCAGAATAGGTAGGATAGAAAGATAAACGTTCAAGAGAGTATTCCCGTATAGCAACGTCGCGGTACGTTTTAACACGTCGTTACGATATTTTACACTTCGACACGGTGTCGTGTCCATGCCGTGAAACGAGAAAAAAGAGAAGCCAAAGGAAGAAGGAAAAGAAAAAAAAAAAAGAAAAAAAGAAAAAGGAAAGAAAAAAGAATAGGGAGAGGTTTGTACGAGAGCGCGAACATTGGTGGATTCTTCTTTTCTTTTTTGTTTTTCTTTTTCTTTTTTTTTCTTTTCTTGTTCTTTCTTTCTTTCTTTTCTTTTCTTTCTTTCTTTCTTTCTTTCTTTCTCTCATCTTCGATTACGAATTGTCAATCAAAGTTTAATATTGGCATGCATCGTATATCAAGAGAAGAACAAACTTGAACAGGTGTTAAAAAGTAAACGACGAATTCGCCATCAATAATTATCTTTTCGAATGTAAGCAAGTAAGCATCCCTCTATCTCTCACTTCTTTTCTCTCACTCCTTCATATTATCTCTCTCTTTCTTAAGGATAACAGCTGTTAGTTGAGAGTCAGAAAAAATGACGTTGGTACACGTATGAGAAATAGCGTATCGTTGTGTTACTAAAGTCTCGAAATAAATGGAAAGGAAAAGAGAGAGGAGTGGAGAGGAGAGGAGAGGAGAGGAGAGGAGAGGAGAGGAGAGGAGAGGAGAGGAGAGGAGAGGAGAGGAGAGGAGAGGAGAGGAGAGGAGAGAAGGAAAGACACCGAAGCGAAACACTCATAAGGCGATACAGTCGCCTGAGCATAAATTATCTCGCGACTCTCCTTGCTAAAACGAATTGACCTTAGAGGTCAGGAATAGAGTGGCGCGCGACAGGAATAAAGATGGCACCGCGTCTCTGGGTCGACGTTAATTATCTCGCCGCTTAAAAGCCGCTTTCGTCGAATTCCAGCGCGAATCTTCTTCCGTGTCTCCTCTTCGTACCATTTCAAGATGAGGGGTGGTGAAAGGAGAAGGGTGCGCGTGTGTGTGTGTGTGTATGTATGTGAGAGAGAGAGAGAGAGAGAGAGAGAGAGAGAGAGTGAGAGAGAAAGAGTTAGAGAGAAGTAATAAAAGAAAAAGAAGGAAAAGGAAAGAAGAGTTGGGGAGTGAGTATCAGAAATATTGCAATCAAGTATCTGTCAATGTTATGAATGACGCGTCGTCGTCGGTCTGTCAAAATGCATGCCGATGAACGTTAACGCAACGGTTCCTTCGTGACCATGCATTCGAAATATTCTCAAAAGACACTTCCGATATGTTCGAAAGCCGATGACCTGATCATAATATTTTCTTTTGTTTTTTTTTTCTTTTATGCACAATCTGTTACTTCCTTAAATAATTTTTATTCGATCGAATTAAGAATATCTACAATTATCCTTTACGTCTTAATTTTCACGATGAGTAGCCTTCGATCTAATCTTTATATTTTCATCCTGAAACACCTTTCCTATTTCCTTTTACTTCTTAACCAGACGACGAACAATCTCTCATGGTTTTTAGGATCTATACGATTACGATTCAAACGAAAAAGCGTATTGAATGTGAAAGTATATGTGTTGATTTTCCTTCGTTTGTATATCCAGTCGGTCTCGACAAGGCTGTCGTTTCTTCGAGATTTATAAGTGCAAACGTGCGCGCGCGAATACGAGTATGCTCGAGTACGCGCACGCATGCACGCATAGTTACTCCTGCATCCGCATCCGGGGTTATTTGACTCGCGGTTCTTAATGAACGATAAAGTCAGTTCCACGCGTCGCATGATGCAATCGCCGTGTAAAACTATCATTATAGGTTCCCGGAGTAAGGAAGAGCCATTATTGTCTTTTACGCGCTTTTATCTTCTTTTTTTTCCCTTTTTCTCTTCCTATCTCTCTCTCTCTCTCTCTCTCTCTCTCTTTTTGTTCTTATATCCATCCATTCTTCTCCCTTTTATCTTTCGAAGAAACCTACGAGATTCGTTTCTGAATGAACCTGCCGATCAACGTTGGAAACTGGACAATTCTGGATATGGATACTCTCGTTGACATCTTGAACCATTACGAGTTGAAGGACTGGATTTGCCATCTGTCTTTCTTTTACTCATTCTGCAAAAGGCTTTATCGAGGTATTCATTGAATGAACTCTCTAAACGTTTTTTCTCGCTTGGTTATGAGAAACAGTTCACTTTGTCGAAGGTTCAACAACAAGGATACGATCCTTGTTGATTTCAATCGAAATTTGAATCAGATATATACATAAAATTAAAAAATCGCGGAAATTATGTATGAATATTTTATTATACTAATATATATCTATTTATATTTATTTTATTGAAAAATAAATCAATATTTCGTTATAATCGATTTGATCAATTTTTATTCATAGATCAATCGTCAAAATTATAAAGAAAATAATAATAAAAAAGAAAAAAAAAAGGATAATACAATGTAATTCTACAAATCCTATTAAGAACTTTTTACGTAGATATTATATATTTTATCTCTCTAATTACATTACTATATATTATTTTCTATATTAAATGTAACCTTTTAATATAAAGTCCAATATATAATATTTAACATCTTGACGTTGTCCAATCTTTCTATGTCCCTCGCTTTAATTACCTTAAGGTTTATCGCAAGGTTTTTGTCGACAGGACATATAAATGGGCAATAATGATCGTTGGTCCGTCTTAACGACCTTCGAAGGCCACGAAGGAAAGAAAGGAGGAAGAGAGGGAAGAAAACGGGAGGCAATGAAGGAATTCAGCGTCATGACGTTAACACGATCAACACGAAAGATAGGAACAGCAGACGGTATATACAACGACGACGGTAACGACGGCGATGTCGATGGCGACGGCGACAGCGACGGCGACGGCGACGATGACAACGACGACGACGACGACGACGACGACGGCGACGACCATGTCCGTCGTCTTTAGATTCGTTGTAAATCCTCTTGAGCTAGGGTAGAGAACAGGACATGTCGGTGGAATGGGGAAGGGTGAGGAGGAGGAGGAAAGTGAGGAGGAGGAGGAGGGTGAGGAGAAGGAGGGTGAGGAGGAGGAGGAGGGGGAGGAGAGGGAGGGGGTCTTGAGCGTGCCCATTAAAGTGGGTTATGCCCATTTCAAGTGGAAAATCATAAGCACCGCAAATACGCCGTTATTACTATAGACGCGCCACACGAGCTCGCCACTTTGTAATCATGACTAATGCATAATGCAGTAGCCGCTCTGCTCCTTCGCCGCGTTTTCTACGTACCTACGTACTACGTACATATGCGGATACGTTTATGTAAATATGTTCTCTCTCTCTCTCTCTCTTTCTCTCTCTCTCTCTCTCTTTCTCTCTCCATCCCTCTCTCTTTTACTCTACAAGTCTACCTGCAGAACCTCTTCTTCTTTTTCTTCTTCTTCTTCTATTACTACTACGAGAATACAACTGGTGTTCTATGACGGACCGTTTCGTTGATTGTATTTCTCTCTCCCACTCTCTCTCTCTCTCTCTCTCTCTCTCTCTCTCTCTCTCTCTCTCTCTTTGCTTCTCTCTGTTTCTTTCTCCATCGTCTAAAAATTCGATACTTGTCGATGATATTTTCATTAAGAATGTTGCTTCATCAAGTGGATTTACTTTTTTCTTCTCCTTCTTCTTCTTTTTCCTTTTCTTTTTTTACCGGACGCTCGAGATAAAAAATTGCGAGTTTACTGTATTCCATAGAAAGGAAGAGAATTTCTAAGAGGATAAGAAAACGTACGAGAACCAGACTCGACCTTGGTCGTGCGGAGAATGCTCGAATCAGCTGTTTTCAAGCGATGGGAGGTCTCCCGCGATATACACAATGGCTGTCACGTGACGCGCAAGCGTTTATTAGCCGACACGAGTCTGGAGAGAAGGTTGGATGAGAGACGAAGATAGATACATAGATAGACAGCTAGATGGATAGTAGTGGAAAGAAAAGTGTGAGTGAAAAAATGATATATATACACATATATATATATATATGTGTGTGTGTGTGTGTATGTATGTATGTATATATATAAAAAGAAAAAGAGAGAGAGAGAGAGAGAGAGAGAGGGGGTAAAAGGCAAGATAAGGTGGCGATTTATAGCCAACGGAGTTAAGATCGAGCGACGTTAAACGGCAAACTTCGATCGACACCAGCGCTACGAATGATCATATGACGTATAGTCGATTGCTTCTTATTAGGAGGCCGAGCATGTTCGACTTAACGTAGGAACGCGCCAACGCATTCCTGCAACTAATTAGCTCCCATTGTAAGTGTCGAGTCGCTCGAGGCGTCAACAATGTCATGCATTGCTCCTCTTCGTTCTCTCCCGTTCCTTCTTTCTCTCTCTCTCTCTCTCTCTCTCACTCTCTCTCTCTCTCTTTCTTTCTCTATCTCTCCTTCTTTCTTGTCCCTCTTCTACCCTTGTCCTCGACTTCGACCTCCGTTTCCGGAGGCGAACCGCACAGTGACCGTACTCGTTATGGTCGCAAACTGACGATGTTGACCGCCGTTGATCATACTACGGTACGTCATAAGATCATCTATTAAGGAGTTGTCGATCGATCTCTTTGAAAATACACGGATAAATGATAATGACGATTTCGATGAAATTCTGATTATTCATTCGTCGAAAAATACATTGATATATTAGTTATCGATTGAATTTTTTATGACAATATGTTACGATCTATGTCAATGAAATATTTGCTTTGTCTTTGACGTTCCCATCGCTTTTCTTTTTTTTTTCGTTCGGAAGATATTCCAAAACATAGGAAATTCAATCGACTTTTTAATTATATATGCTAATAGACAAATCGAAAATGTAAATCTATGCATGCGAATCGATCGAACGAGATCTTTAATTCTTTTTCATCAATCTATTCGATGTCAATATCTTTCAAGAAATTCTATAGGACATTGTGTTATATTATTTCAGAGAATCTATGTAAATTAAATATGTACGTAAACGTATGCAAACGAACCTTTTTTATTCTTTTTTTTTTCCTCATAAAAGTGTCTCGACGTTGTCTAGATTATTTTTTTTCTTTTTTTTATTTTTTTTTTCTACGAATTTCACATGGTTCAATTTGCCAGAATATATTCGAGAATCAATGTGGGTCAAGATCAAGAACGAACATAAGTATTATAAATATGTATATATATATATATATATATATATATATATATACATATATATATATAGAACCACGAAATTTTTCACAGTTATCTCGATGTACATATACATATACCGTAGACAAAACTTTTTTCTTTTTTTACCGAATCAATATAAATTATTCCATCGAAATTAATTACATTAGATGTTACAAATTATTTCTTTTTTATTTATTTACTTTTCTGTACGGTTAAATCAAAAAAAAATTTTTTATATATACATATTTAATTTCATTCGAATCTCCATATACGCAATGATTAAAAAAATAAAAAGAAGCAATTTACAATATATAAAAAAAAAAAAAAATGAAAATATTTTCACAAAATGAATGAAAATGTATAATCACTTTGGAACAATTGAAAAGATACAAATTTTAAAATTAACATTTTCTTTCATTAATTCTTTGATAAGAAATATTGTGCGTTCTTCTGTGTGTATATGTGCGTATGTGTATGTGTGCATGTGATCATGATTAAAAATAAACTTTAAACTCTAAAATTTAGAATAGCCTCATATTATGTACTTTGGCGATAAGTAAGAGAGAAAGAGAGAGAGAAAGAGAGAGAGAGAGAGAGAGAGAGAGAGAGAGAGAGAGAGAGAGAGAGGAGATTGGCAAATGCATGCTTCCAAGGTGGAAAGCAAGCAAGAAAGACTCCAAGAAAGGAACGAAGAGAACGAGAGAGAGAGAGAGAGAGAGAGAGAGAGAGAAAGAGAGAGAAACAGAGAAAGAGAGAGAAAGACACAGAGAGAGAGAGAGAGAGAGAGAGAGAGAGAGAGAGAGAGAGAGACAGAGAGAACGTGCGTTCCTGCGTGACGTAGCTTTCGCAGGCCATCACGCATATGTTACCCTCCACGAGGAAGCCGTAGGAGCCTCCGGTACAATACAATCCGCGGGGTCATTCCACCGAGTCCTCCGGTCACCTCCACGTTCGACGAGTCTTTTTCGGCCTGCATGATGAACTTTGCACTCGGCGCGATCCTGCGCTTCTTCGTTCTGCTCGGTCACAACGAAGATACATAGAAGATCTTCGAATACGTACAAGTTGATTATTATCTTCCCATCTATCCTTTCTGAGAAAATTTATTAGCGATAGCCAAACTAAAAGTGTAACCCGAAAAGAGTAAACTCAGGTCGACTCGTTAAATGGACTGATTAACACTCCTAGTCATTCCTTTTCTATCTCTCTCTTTCTTCCTTTCTGTCTGTCTCTCTCTCTCTCTCTCTCTCTCTCTCTCTCTCTCTCTCTTTCTTTCCTTCTTTCTTTCTCTTCAGTACTATAACAGCTGTTATTTGAATCACTTCGAATGACATCAAGAAAAATAATATAATCATCGAAAACGAGTATTTATTAATGAACTCATACTAAACATCTTATCTACCTCATCATAATCTATCGTAGAACGATAATACTTTTGTTCAGGACGTAAGTATATGTATCTACATAAGTTATTACATACATAGATAGATGCATACATAAATGTATACAAACGCCTTGGATATTACATAACACGATAATAAAATAAAATTACGTTATAATGACGATATCCTGTTTGTTATTACATGTTTTCAACGATACCGTATTAAATATAGTAAACGAGAGAGAGAGAGAGAGAGAGAGAGAGAGAAAGGGAGAGAAAAAGAAAGATAAAATAATCTCGATGGTGAATTTATATTTCGTTAATGCGTTACTACGTATTGCTTGATTATAGAGAGGCGTTTGTCAGAAATCGATCGTTTTTTTAATTGAAAAAGAAATAGAAACGAAGGAATACGATTTTGATTGGATAGATTAGATAAGAGAAAAGGAGAGGCACGTACTTACGTGTATATGCACTCACGCGAAAAGATTTATCTTTGCAAATTAATCGAAAATTTAACCCTGATTATGTAATTTTACCGTACAAGTGGTATGTCACATCGAAGGTAACAAAATTGAACAAGCTTAATTCAATGCCGATTATCGCCGTTTCTACGTGTTTACTTGCTTTTACACTTGTATTCTTACTTGCGAAATATTTCAATAAATATTTTATTTTACATATATTTTAATATTTCACTCCTATACAAAATGTATATTAACAATATATAAATGTAATTATAGCGATGTCAAAATTAACGGTGATAGTGAAAATCATATATCACGTGACGTGAGATATCCTACCCCTAAAGGGGAGGGGGGAAAGCATAATGCGTGAAATTATTCGAAGGAATAGACAATAATTATATATGTGAAACATACGAAGTAAATAACATACGTATAGACTATTAAACAAAACAAAGCAAAACAAAACAAAATATATATATATATATATATATATATATATATATATATAATCGAAATTAATATAAACAAACGATTAATAATAATTAGTTAAAACAATTATTAAAATAATGTTAACAACGTTTAAAATATGAACTGAAACTACAAACATTTCCATTTTTTCTTTCTTTCTTTCTTTACAAATATAAATGTGTTCAACGATATGAACTAATCACGATGAAACATTATTTAAAGTGAAAAATATATGAAACGAAAGTTCGATCGACAAATTGAAAAATTATGAAAAGAAAGAAAAAAGAAAAAAAAAAAAAAAAAAAAAAGAAAATGAAGAACAAACAAGGAAATAAACAAACAAACAAAAAAGGAGAAAAAGAAAATGTCAAATTCGAATAAGAAATTATAAAAAAGATTTCCCGTGATCTCGCGCATTAATTCGTTCGTGGTTATGTGCGTCTTTTACGCACTGTACCTATTATTCATTGCGAGTGCATCGGGAAACGGTTGTGTGACCTTTGTTGATTCTCGATGGT